CAATTAGGATGTGTTGTCTCAAATTGCTGTCAATAGCTCCACAATCTGTGGGGAAAAACATATCACCTGCTGGTGTCTACAACTGATCTTCTTTGCAAGGGATGGGTTTGCACTATGTGTTTGCATCTATTTGGATTTTGCACGAGAAGAGCCGGCACTCGTCCGTGAAAATGATCGTCCTTGATACCTTGGCTGCGTTTCAGTTGGACTTTGTGAAACCTTCATGTTGAACTTTAGCCTCGCACTCTTCTTTGGAGTCTTTGCTTCCACGGACTTGTTGCGGCCTTCAAACACGTGGCTGCTGTACGGGGCATGTGGAATGCAATTTCAACACAGCACAAGGGCCAGGCAAACGACAAGATATTGTTGACATCCAACCAGCGGCATGGCTCAGCCTTTGTGGAATCAACTACCCGGCACTTCTTGAACATGGCTGCTGAACATCTGCGTGAAGCAGTGGACAAGGCCACCACCCAGCTCGCTTCAGATTGGCGATCACCTCCCTGGAAACTTCAAAACCATTTGCCTGCACATGTAGTTGGAGCAGAACTCACGTACAAGTGGACTTATCTACAAAGCAACCCCAACCTCCCTGATAAACTGTTTCAAGTCCTAAACGCTTTGTGGATCATCCGACAAAAGTCGTGTCAGTGTCGCTGTCATTGTCCCCAGTGTCACTGTCCAAGTGTGATGGCAGCGTGTCCTTCGATTCAGACACGGCAGGGTCCTCTCCAAGGTCCAACCTGGCACAACTAAACTGAACCACGCCTAGTTCATCCGTGCTACAAGTGCTGGGGTTTGTAGCAACAAGGTTCGCTACTAGAAACAAGTGCCACGCTAGTAGTAACAGGTGCCTTATATACTAGTAGTAACAAGAAGCTAGTAGGGTTTGTAGCAACAATACTTTGCACCATGATGGTCTGTCAATGCGCAGGGATCTCTGTGACCAAAGAGCCAACAAGCGAATACCAGCGAGCTGCAAACGCCTCAGCAGGCAAAGCTTCCAAGAACCGGTCCGTCTTGCAGAATGATTAGAGTCAAGCCTTTCTCTTGCAAGGCCTTTCACTTTGTCAGCAAGTTTCCAGTCACATGTTTCTATTCTTTACATGTGCTCACTCCCAACGCCCGCACCTCACCCCTTCAAAAAACTCAAAGTCTGTTTGAGTTTTGAATGCACACTAACTTTCCAGCAAGACGTTGTTGAGGCCCAAATGCTGCAGAGAGCACTGTCAGGAGTGCATTCATCGCTACAAAGCTTTAGCTGGGGGAGGCCTATTTGCGTTTGGGTACAAAATTGCATATCCTGCATCATGAGGTGTGTCTGGGAGAGGAGTGGGAGTGGGAGAAAAAAATGGAAAAGCACTTGGTCTATGTATGTGTTTTTGTATATATATATATATCATGTATGTCTGACTATATTTATTTCTCATCATCGTACCATTCGCATCACCAGGCTCATGAAAGGCAAACAAACGACTCCTCTCTCAACAGTCTATGTCTTAATAAATCTCTCATGGTTGCATCATATGCATCAGCTGGTTGCAATTGTATAGTTTGTTATGGCGACAAATGCATCATCTGGTTGCAATTGTATAGTCTGCAAGTTAGTATAAAAATTGTATAGTCTGCAAATTTGGGCGCCCTGAAAAATGTACAATTTCAAGAAAGGTCCAACAATGTTTGCAACTTGCAAGGAAGACATACAATATATAACTAAACAATGTGAAAGAGGATCCAAAAATAGTGATTATAGATACGTGTTTACCGTCTTCAAGAAAACCGGGTCTTCGGGTCTTTACAAGCGTGACATCCCGGAGGTCAACAATGCATTCCACATTCCACCAGTACTGTGCACACTTCACAACACTCCACACTGCATTACAAAGTCTACAGGAACACTGCGGAAACTCGAGAAATGCGAGATACAAAGCCATGCAAAGAGTGTAAACACCATAAAAATGACATCTCTTAGTGAGCGTCCAACATGCCCGACTCAGATTACAGGGCGCTCGCCAGATTCCAATTGCGGAGTCCCCTACGGAATACTCTCCTACACACAGCAGCGCCATACTGCATTGTACAGACAGCACTGTGCAGAGTAGAGAGGATATGTGTAGGGCATGCGCACAGAGTGTGAAAGCTTGTGGTTATATAAATGTATTTATACTTCAATGACTGCACTTGGTATAAGGCATTGCTTGCGCTGCAGGCACCAGGCCAAATAGAATGATTTGTAGATTTGAGCTCTTGATGATGTTAGGCTACGGAAACTGTTGTGTTTGATCGCATATGCAGGTTTCTGAGAGCCTGAAACACACCAAAAACTGTTTCCTAGAATCTGGGTTCCTCGATGCTTCATAAACTTTCTTTGGGTTTTTTGTAGCTGGATCTTTCCTCATCCAATTTAAGATTCCAGTTCATGGCGAAATGTAAGTTTCTTGTTCCAAGCTGTCACCCAATCTTCTCGCAATCTTATCCTTTGAATTACTCACACACTTTCTACCCCTTCCTGCATTCTGTTACTTTATATTCTTAGCTTGCTCTGCTTCTTTGAATTGCATGGCTCTGACCCTATCCAGTCAGCTCTTCCATGTTTAATCTGTCCCTTGTCAGCTTTCTCCTTTGTTTCAAGTTAAGAATGAGAGAATCCATATTTGTATATATTCTCCGCATCATAGCTAAATCACTAAATCTTCCCATTTTGGCTTCCTATTCAGGCTGAATGATCCTTTATACTTTGTTTTCCCGCCTTTGCATTGTCGGGAAAATGCTGTTTCTGGAAAATATGTTTCTTCTGGGATTCATGTTTGCACATGCAGTGAGTATTTTGGCTGATAAATGATATATGTATATATACAATACAATATGTAGCCAACAAAGCAATAAGTCGTAGCCGCCTTTTTCTTACTTGGGTCAAGCAACATGTTCAGCGGAGCCTGTGTCATTGATTCAACCTGAGGCAGAGAACAAAAGGCTTAAGCTCGGATATCTGCGAATGCCACCTGTGATTGAGGAATAGGCCACAGTTCGCACAATATCACTTTCATCTGTCACCAAGGGAACCTTTCACAGGACACGGGTCCGGTCCAAGTTGTTATGGAAAAAGGATTGAGTTCACTACATAAGTACACAAATGTGAGGCACATAGCGTTCACAACGATGCGTGGATGGGGCACGACAGCTGGTGCTGGTGCATCACAAAGCCGAAACAATAGAGTGAACGCCTGGCCACAAGACATGGTGTCACAGCGATATGCAGTGGCATCACATGCCTCTGAAACTAACTCCGGTGCTCGGTTGTGTCCAATGATCCGATGTAGCACCTTTCAACGGATTTCCTTCTCCAACAGTTTTCCAGTTGGTGTCGAAATCGCTCAAACATTCACTTCTCTCCAAACCTATGCCGAAATGCCCCTCAACCAACGAAGCAATGTAAGAATTCGGGAAATCCAAACGCACCTGGAGCACATCTGATTGCAAGAGAGTAGCTCCGTTCTCGCTCCTCAAGAGAGGTTCCGTTCAAGTTCTGACACGAGGCCATCATTGAATAAAAAACAATAAAACGGAAATGTTCCCAACATCTCCTGTAAAGCGTAAATCTCTCAATTGCTCCCAGCGCCTGGCGGTGAATGACGAGCAGGCTCGAAGGGGGACTCCGGATTGCTAATGTAAAAAAGACTTTAGAAAAAAAGAGCACAGGCTCTGACAGACAATGCCACATCCTCATCTTCGGAACCTAACCTGCAAAGGAGGACAAGCTTCTCGCAAGAAGCAATCGGATTTAATCTTGGGTGACGACCAAAAAGCCAAATGTAACACATGTTGAAGCTGGTCAAAGTCCACCTCATCCTGGCTAGCTCGCAAATACAGTGCCAGTCACTATTACTGCGTACAGAATGATCGGCACTTGTCATCAATCGATTTGGCAGCAAATCCAGTATGGATCCATGACAGCATCCCTGTGGCAGAAGGATTTCAATTATCTCTGTCAGTATTCACTGAAGCAGCCAGAATGTCCACTTCATCCAACCACACAGCTGCGCGTTGAAAAATGGCAGCCGCCTGGGCACCCACAGTGGCTAGGCTAAATTATGGTCTGCAGAACTTCATACAATCTAGAAAACATAAATAGAAAAGGTACAAGGTCTCTTGTCACAAATGGACATTAAAATGGTTTTGATCTGCTTTTCACCGACAGCTGGGGGTGACCAGGCTGCGGACTGCTGCATTTACAGCTTCGGATGTAGCAGGCGCAACATGGGCTTGTGGCAGATGCCGCAAGAAAGACAGCATTGTCTCCACACCCTTGGCCTGGACAAGATTGCCATGACAGTAAGATATAGAAACAGCTGGCGGCCTTTACCAAGGTGATGAAGCCGTATGAGTCCTGTGCGAAAACATTTTGAGTGCAAAAGTGTTGCAATCTTGGCTCACTTGGCTCTCCTCACAAATCCGTTCTACTGCATTGCACGCAGCCAGGAGACATGGACGGTCCCCCTGAAAGGGTCGACAAAAGAAATATATATATATATATATCCACTTGAAAAAGGCACTGGACACTTCGGGTATCTTTGGGTGTCGCCAGAAAAAAATACAACCAGCAACTTCCTTGTGCAAGGGCAATGGACAAAACGAAGAATCCTACCGCTGCCACTGACACACACAAAAAAAGGAAAGATGAGCAGTATGTACAAGGGGACCAAATGCAAAACTAGGTCATGAGACGACAAAGTAGGAACCAGTTCTTTGAAAAAAGATATAGATTGAATGTTCAAATATTCCAAAGTGCGTGGTTTCAAGCTCTTCACAGTTTCCCGCCTGTGCAAGCCCATACCCAAGTAGCTGAAAAACTTTTGGAACAAGGCTCTCGTCCACAGATGAATCCACCTGACATTGAATGTGTTTAAGTGGCAACACCACGACCACATTCATCTGGCCTCATCCAAGAAGCTCAGGTCTACTTGTTTTTTGTCGGAAGTTGCTGAGGCTGTAGCCTCACAATTTCACGATTTCAGCGTCAGCACACTCAGCACACTCTATATATATATAT